AAGAAAAAAATTATAGTTTTACTCACTTTAAAAGATTTAAAAGGAGCAATAAATGTTATGACAGTAAGCCAGCCTGTTTCTCTGGTTCTTTTCTTCCAACCTTTTACTCTTTTCCTCTCACTTGATTTTCTCCTCCTTTTTCTTTAGCTTTCTTATTTGACCTCTATCTTTTCTCCTTCACACCTTTCTCCACTTTCTCTTCTCTTCTGTTTTCTTCCAATACTGTTGCGATATACAAATGAACCCGCTACCCACACTAGATGTTGCTGTTGTGGTTTCTGTCGCAAGTGAATTCTTTTGGGGTGAAGGTGCTAATCCCACATAGAACCATTTTTGAATTTGGAGTTGTTTTTTTTTTAGACCAGTTGCCAGCCAAAGCTAGAAAGCCCAGGCAACTATGCTATTAACTTTTGAATGATGATAGAAAAGCAAGACTCCATCTTTTCTAAGGGTATTTATATAAAAGTGACTACAATGGCATAAACTGAAATTTGAACTCGTTATACTCTTACCACTTAAGTAAATTAACGTATAGCATATTAATAAAAATTCTACCAATTTAAGATGGAAAAATATCTCTGACGTGCTGACATTATTAATTTTCCTAAAAATAATAATTGTAATAAGTATCATATTATTGACATTAAAATCATATTTACAACAATGTTGATAATATATTTTTAATAATTCTTAGTTAGCATGATCGTTATGCCCAGTCAATATCTCATGAATAATGGACTATTCAATTTTGATCATGTGGAAAGATGAGAAATATATATTGGAAATGCTACTTGGTTTCAGTGAGTTAATGAAAGAAAAGGAAAGATAGTGTTTAACTTTTCTTTCAATGAAATGGAAAAGTTGTCAATTTCAAATATTTTCATTTGTATCCCCTTACTTCTTAAAATAATGACCAGAATTCATATTTATGATTGTTATTGCAATATTTTGTTAAAGCTGTTAACTATGTAATCAGGGAATTTCTGCAGACATTTTATTGTTGGAGAACTCACCATGATTATATTCAATCATTAACTTAAGAATTACAATTCATCAGAAAATACAAATCGAAAAATCATGAAATTTTCATGGGTATTTCTAGTTTTTAATAATAATGACACTAAATGGATCACAATGCCAAAATGATTACACAGAAGTTTACATTTTGATTGTAACTACTGCTGCTAATAATAATTGTAAGAATAATAATTAAACTCATTGAGGTATTTGTTCAATTTTTTAATAATTGCTTAAAAACATTGAGAATCAATTTCAGATAATGATGAAAGGATAATTTAAGTTGAGCCAAAATATTATTAAAACAGAAGCAGCAATGAAGAATTTTGAAAATCTCGTTCAATTTCATGTGACTGGAGAGAGAGAGAGAGAGAGAGAGGAAAAATGAAATGAGAAAGATTTCTATCAGCAGAAACTTTTTTACTATCAGAAAATAATTTTTAAGAGTATCAAGGATAAAAATCACTTTACCCAATTATTTTTCAATTACTTTGCAAGAATCATTCAAAATTTCTCAGAAATAATAACTAAGAACATTTGAAAAAAATAAAAAAAAAAGATAAGATTTTTAATTATATTTCACTCGAGTAGAGATCACTTTAAAATGGAGGAAGAAAATTTACGAGGTCTTATTTGTCTGATATTTTCAGTTTATTTTATGTCTTTTTTGCTGTTAAACTTATTTATTTCTTATTTAATTCAGTTTACATTTCAGTATATAAAGCATTCTTTCACCTTTCTAAATAGGATATTTTATTTGGTGATGAAATATTTCTATCTACTTTGAAAAATAATATATATTTTTATTCTAGTTATTTGGGAAAAGATAAAAGTATATCCACAAAGGTTATCATTAACATTCTTTCCAGCAGATTACTTAGCAACACCTGCAAAAAGTTATAATGTCTTTCTGATTATACTAATGTTATATAATTGTCCAACTGATATATTTAAACAAATGCATTTTTTCCAAGAGATTCAATAACATTAAAAAAAAAAAAATAAATCCATTAATTTTTTGGAAATTGCTTTGTTTATGAAATTGAGCAAATATGGGCTTTTGGTGAAAATAATCTGAGTGAGGAAAATGTGTTTTCCTTAAAAAGGAGAAAATAGAGCCTTGTTTACTGTAACTTTGACTGAATTGACTGAGGAGATATCTCACAAAATTTTGTTGTCCTGTAAAAAAAAAAAAAATATATATTGTGTTGTTCTACGACATGTGATCAGTAGTCAACTTCTTGCCTGTCTCTTAATTTACTATACGCTTTATATCTCTTCTACTTAACATATGCAAATAGGTATGATCCTATTTACCAATCCACTAAACCTCCCTAAACCAAAGAGGTTTAATGTCTTTGGTTGTCTCAAGCTTCATTTACAACCTCTTTCCTTCTTTACCCCATGAGGTTTGTGTCCTGTTTTTTTTTTTTAATGGAGATCTTGGTCTCATTTCATTTCTCCCCCTCTTACCTGACTATCTTTTAATTTTTTACCCCTAGCCTGGGCTGCAAAACGCCGGATCCAAGTCTCAACAAATTCTAATTAAACAAACATCCTATTGGTAATGCAATATTGTGGTATTGGGTTATTCTATTACATGTGATCACAAGTCAACTTTTTGCCTTTCTCTTAGTTTACTATACATTTTATATCTCTTCTACTTAACATATGCAAATAGGTACAGTCCTATTTACCAATCCATTACAGTAAATAATCATCCTTCTAATTGGTTAAACATTTTTATTTGAGATGAAGATGTAGAATTTTTTCTCATTTTTGGATGGGATTTTTTTTAATCTTCATTTTTTTTTCCCAAAGTCTTGGGTCATATATTTCTTTATCTGAAAATATCCAACTTTTCACAATTACTCAAATGTAATTCAGCAGAAAGTTTACCTCTGTTTATTATTAATAACCTCATTAGAGATGAATTAAAGTTCAAATATTAGCAAACAAAATTTAATGTTGATTATCAGAATGTTTTAAGGAGATGGCATCAAATCCTATCTAAAGGAGTTCTATTCATATTTGTCTGCACATTTATATGCAGAAATAAGATATTTTTATCACTTTAAATAATATTATAATAATGTTATATTATTTATGATATTTTATTTGGTAATGAAATATTTCTATCTACTTTGAAAAATAATATTTATTTTTATTCTAGTTATTTAGGAAGAGATAAAAGTATATCCAAAAAGGTTATCATTAACATTCTTCCTGGCAGATTACTTAGCAACACCTGCAAAAAGTTAAAATGTCTTTCTGATTATATTTCTAATGTTATAATTGTACAACGGTTATTTTTAAACAAATGCATTTTTTTTCCAAATGATTCAATACTATTAAGTATTTTTAAGAAACATTTTATTTATTCTTTTGAGTTTGTCAATGAATATTTGTAACATATTATTAGTAATCCTCTGCCTTTATTATAGAAATGATAAGCAACTTTATCTTAGAAGGTAATATTCTGTAGTAAAAATCTATCATCACTGGCTGCCCCATACTTGTGGTCTTTTCTTTTTCTTTTCTTTTTTGATAATGTTATATTCCGTACTAATAGGAATATATACTTGATAAACACAGTGGATAAATAAGTAAAGGTTTATTGTAAAAAACCAGTAAAATAAAAAATAAGGTAACACTTATGTGCATGATCATCACAAGTCAATCCAGTAGTGAGTGCTGCTATTGAAAGGTCAGTAGTTCTCGCATAAGTCTGAGTCGTACTCAAAAGATCCCAGCTAGACCCTGTATTCTATACCTATAGTGTAGTTACTCATGGGGGTGACAAGTTATTTCATTACATCAGATAATTTCACCCTAAGCAAGGCAATAAAGCAATAAAGAGACAAGGGGTTACTGAGTGACAGTATTATTAAAAAGCAAGAACAATAAAAGAACAAGAATTAAAACAGAAGATAACGATTGATATTGCATTTAAATTTTTGAAGATCAAAGTTGGATGGGTAGCAAGAAGCTGGAAGAGTTTCACAAGCAAGACGTGTAAGAATAAAAACTATTAGTATAGAACAATGTTAATTGTAACAATTTCAACCATAAAATGATGATACCTTGCCACCAATCCAGTACTACGCTTAAATTCATAAAGTCTAGGTAAAATAGAGGAACGTTCATCAGAACAGTTGCCATGAAATTATTTATAGAAAAAGGCTACATTACAGTGGTAGGAAAGTGACTGAAGCTGGGATGACAGATCAGGACCAATAACATTGTAGATAACAATATTGCATTTAAATTTTTGAAAATCAAAATTGCCTGGAAAGCAAGAAGCTGAAAGAAAGTTCCACAAGTGAGAAGTGTGAGAAAAGAAACTGCTAGCAAGAATTTGCTATTTAAACTGTAAAATGGTGAGACATTCCCACTAATCTAGTACTGCACTTGAATTCTTAAAGCCTACATACCATAGACCAAAGCTTCTCAGAACAATTACCATGAAATTATGTATAGAAAAAGTACAGGGAAGCTACATTACAGCAGTGGGAAAGTGACTGAAGCTGAGATGCCAGGTTAGTAATAATAATATTGCAGATTCTTCTTTGGATTTTATCTAAATCCATAGCAGGTGGAACAAACCATATGTGGCAGCAATATTCAGCGCATGGATGAATGGTAGACTTATAAATATATAAGATAGATTTTGGAGAGAAAAATTATCTAGGATGACTCAGTAAAATTGAGCCATTCTTACTAAACAACTAGAGAGCAAACAAACAGCCTAATGGTTAAGAAACTTGTCATGATTAGTGATTTCTATACTCACTGAGTATATATATATATATATATATATATATATATATATATATATATATATATATATATATATATATAGTCTTGTATTAAGTTTAAGGTAAGTTCAGTAAATAAATATTGTGCACTTTGTACAGTTTGGTCTCATGGATCATTATGGAGGAATGGTGATTTTTTTTTTTTACATGGCTGTAAGCTTACACCTATATCATTTTGAAACACCAATTCTCATCTGGTCATTGAAGTTAAGGAATGTTGAGCTTGGTCAGCACTCAGATGGGTGACCACTAGAGAAAACTAGGTGCTGTAAGCTATTCAACAGGCGTAGCAAGCTGTTGATTGATACAATCTTGCTACTTGTACTAAGAGAAGACCTCTATATATGGAAGTGCTTTTCTTCTGGACTGATAGGTTGCAAGAACTACCTGGAGTTAGGTGTGTGGTGGTGATTTTTATTCTCATTGGGTACCCTGTACATTTAGCCTTGGGCTAAAACCAAGATTTTATAAATAATTTTTTTTCCAATTATATCTAACTTGTAAAATTTCTAGAAGACATATGCAGAATTACGAGAAATTTTTTCATCTCAGTCCTTCTAATGAAATCCACAAAACATGGTATAAAATTTGGGTTTTGTTCAAAATTATAGTTAATTAGTATAGTACACTTCAAAAACTGATTTATGACTGGATCAGCAATTCTACTTGCAATCAATTAATATAATATCTTTGGGCTCTGCATAAGATCAAATTGTTACTTCCCAGAACTTTTGCCAAAAATCAGTGTATTATCTATGTGCTCAGGCTGAGTTTCAAAGTGTGAGATCCTAGTATTACTACCATGGATTAATGTAATAATGTTGCAATCTGCCTTGGATCAGTGTGTTGCTTCTCAGGACTTCTGTTAAGAATCTCTCTGCTCTGCTGAGGTTCAAAGTGTGGCTTTCTGGATCAGTGTGATGATTGTGATCTACCTAGGATCAAAGTGTGGATTCCTAGCATTTCTGCCAAGGATCAGTGTAATAATGTTGTAATCTGCCTCAGATCAAAATCTTGCTTCCCAGGTCTTGTGCTGAGAATCACTGTAATATTTGCGCTCTCTCTGACAAGATGCAAAATATTATGAACCCTGCACTTTTAAGTAAACCTCCGAGTTGGATGAAGAAGTACATGAAAATAGTCCACATCATTAATTTTTACTGATTATTACCTGGAGAGGGTTGGACTCTGCCAGGTCTACTTGCTGAAGACAGACTATGCATGAATGAATATCTGTCTGGCATTCAGATGTATGGAAGGAAAGGTGCTCAACTGCTCAGTGACACTACAGTCATGGGAATAATGATAATAATCAATTATGATATTTTATTTTCCAATTTGTTCATAATTACATATATTTTACGTGAATGTATGCATATCAATGAATATAGGAATGTGTGCATTGAAATATGAATATTTTGAAGAATATAAGTCTATACATATTGATGGGGGATATAAACTTGATTCAAGCATGGCTTTTTATTTGTATTCCTTTGTGCAAGAATCTTCCAGAATGCATGTAAACTCGTGTACACAAATATGTGTCTGGGGAAAATTAAAATGAGTATACATTTCTGTGTGTGGATGAAGAAGCGTATATTTTAATGTATATACATGATTTTATGACTGTGGATTAATGTCCATGTGTTTGTGTGTCAATGTTTGTGAGAGTACTTGTTGAAACATGGGTAGATGACTACTACTTAATTGCTGTGCCTTTCTAATTTTTTTCTTTCCACCTTTTGTTTCTCATCTCTGCTATAATCAATTTATTTATTCACTTCACAATTTACAAATTCTAAGTGTTTAACTTGCTTCAACCTGTCGTCAGAAATGATCACCGACATTAAATTATTAATTGAATTTTTCTGCATTTAAATGCATCAATATATGTGCATGGCAGATGGGATCACCACAGAGATTTCCTTTTTTTTTTCATGTGTTATTATATCTTCTCTCCCCCTTTCATTTCTCTATCTGCCAATCATTCATTTTTTTTCGTAACACTCTTCTTACCTTTCTTTTTGTTATCTTTCTGTTTTTATATATTATGAGGAAATTGTTATATATATATATATATATATATATATATATTCTGTATTTAATCCAAGTGATTTCATCCATTATTATTTTATTATGCTTCTATTTATTTGTGGGCATGGACAAAAGGGGGTACCAAAAAGTTCTCAGCCCGACCCATTTCTCAAAATCTGTATTCTGATGTTTGGTCATTAAAATAATGATTTTAGGAAATGGGTTTGGTTTAGAATTTTTCATTTCACCCACCCCATGTATAAATATGGATGTATGTGTTTATGCGTAATTGCATAAAATCTATATATTATCTTATTACTATATAAAACTCTGTGAATTTTGTATCTTGTGTGTTTGCCAGAAGTCATATATAGGGAGTGGGGAAAAGAAAGATGTAAATTTATTATCATGTAGAAAGTGAGGGATGGAGCCAATTTTCCCACGAGAAAATGTATAAAAACACAAATTCTGGCCCCAAACAGGATATGCAGAGCTGTCATCAAGGTTCACACCACTCTCGCTTGTGAACTTCATGACCTCATGCTAAAAGTGACAGTGCTGACAAACTTCAAAGAGACCGCTTCAGACTACGGCAATACCATCCACAGTAAGAAGCAAATTCTATCTCTTGTTTCCTCTTTACTATGAACTACGCACACATGTTGACTTTTTTACACATACATAGCAAAATTTCATTGTTTCTCACACACATACACAAAGAGAATTTATATTTTATTTTAGAACTTTATTAGCTCAAACAAAAAGACATTACTTTCCAATCTTTGACCAATTGCTTGGATTCTTGTCATTATATTAAATTAATGTTCATTTGTTGAAACTACATTGTTTTTTCTACTGAATTTTATTCTTTCAATGAGAATCGTTTGATTATTCTAAATGGCCAAATTACGCACATCCCTGCAACAATATTTTTTGTTATTGCATTGAATCCCAATATTCCAAATTTTGACATTCCAAGCTCTTATTGTTCAACTTTCTTCAAACGGAGAATTTTTTTTTTATATTGAAAGCAACTTCAATAACTGCAAATAAATGTATTTTTAAAATATCTCTACTTCTACAAACACTTCATGAAACTAAATGTAAACAGTAAATACAACAAGGTTGACCCAATGGGTCACAGATGGTCTAATAATATAGAATTATGCAAGTATAATGTAATATTTTATTATTATTATGATGTAATATTTTATTATTATGATGATGATGTGATATTTTATTAAGTAATATTATGTAATATATATATAACTGTATAAATGGCTGGACTAAATTTCGCTCAATCTCTAGTTCTTGTTCTTTCTTTCGGATTTGAATCTCATAATGTTAGATTTGTCAGGAAGGTTGTTTCTTTATGTTATCAGCCTGGGGAGTAGACCCCAGCATGCAGTAAGTTTTGGAAAGTGCCTGAAAGGCACACTATGGATTGGTCCAAGCTTTGTGAATTAATTTGAGTAAACGGAACTTTGGAGGCCATTGATTATTGCACCAACATGAAGTCACAAGTCATCGTGACTGAGAGTTGCCTTGTCCAAATCAAATCGTTGATCACAACAGATGATATATTCTCTCGATCAAAAATCTGCCTTGGTCTGTCTATCACCTATAAGGAATATACCTGAAAAGATTTAGAGGCTCTGTGATCCCCAGACTAGGACTGTATTCGAAAACACTTCAACATTTTGACAATATCTCTCCGGAGCCAAGTTTTGTTGGTCTTAGTCATTATTTAATGAAAACTGAAATTTGCCAGTGATATATTTTTATTGTTACAAACAGTTGCTAGGCAATACCAAGAAGCCTTTTCAAAAAAAAAATATTCTGATGTTTGGTCATATTTCAGGAAGTAGCTTCAAACTAACATTTTTTAGCACCTGTTCATTAATGTTTAGCATTAACAAAACACTTGTAATCTCTTTTCCCCTCATGAAGGATTTTAAATTTGCACAAGTTTTACAATTTTTGTAAATTTTAACAATATTAAAATTTGAGTAAATTAACAAATACAAGTGCAAAAATGACAAGAGGGATCATAAACAAGCAAGTATAATGGGGTGCTGAAAATTTATCGATCAACTCCACTTGCCTAAACCTTGACCAAATATAAGATTTTATTTTGGTCGGATGGATAAATTTTCAGCTTTCCCTTGTATTGCTGAAAGAAACAAAACAGAGCAAGAAGCTCTGGAGGGCTATGATTGCCCATGTACTGAATAGACATGACATATAGAGTTGATTATTTTTATTGTTTCTTATATTTTTTAAATTATGTCCTTTTTTCTTTCTCTTTGCTTTTATTCTTTCACTGAAGCATTCTTAAATTTCCAAAAAGCTCTTATGCATCTGACACTAGTCTAAATTTACTGTAAACTTCTATTGAATACAAGCATAACAAGAGGCAATAAAAATGCAGCACAAAACTAAACTAATTTTAAGAGTTAAGTGAAATATATGGCCTTTGGACATGTTCTTCTTAGTTTCTAATCTTTTTCTCTTTTTTTTTTTTTTTTGCTTTCTCTTTCTTTCTGTTTCTTTTTCTGTTCATATAACTTTCTTTCCTTTCCTAATTTATTTACCTCTCTATTCCTTGTCCTTTTTCTCTTTATTCCTTGTCCCTTCCTCTTTATTCCTTGTCCTTTTGTTCTTTATTCCCTGTCCTTTTCCCATCTTTATTCCTTGTTCCCTTTTTATTCCTTGTCCCTTTTCCACTTTTTATACCCTGTCCCTTTTCCCCTCTTTATTCCCTGTCCCTTTTCCCCTCTTTATTCTTTGTCCCATTTTTCTTTATTTCTTGTCCCTTTTCGCCTCTTTATTCCCTGTTCTTTTCTCCTCTTTATTCCTTGTCCCCTCTTTATTCCCTGTCATTTTCCCCTCTTTATCCCTTTTCCCCTTTTTATTCCCTGTCCCTTTTCCCCTTTTTATTCCCTGTTCTTTTCTCCTCTTTATTCCTTGTCCCCTCTTTATTCCCAGTCATTTTCCCCTCTTTATCCCTTTTCCCCTTTTTATTCCCTGCCCCTTTTCCTCTCTTTATTCCTTGTCCCCTTTTTATTCCCTGTCCCTTGTCCCCTTTTTTCCCTGTCCCTTTTCCCCTCTTTATTCCCTGTTCCTTTTCTCCTCTTTATTCCTTGTCCCCTTTTTATTCCCTGTCCCTTTTCCCCTCTTTATTCCCTGTCCTTTTCCCCTCTTTTTTCCCTGCCCCTTTTCCCCTCTTTATTTCTTGTCCCCTTTTTATTCCCTGTCTCTTGTCCCTTTTTTCCCTGTCCCTTTTTTCCCTGTCCCTTTCCCCTTTTTATTCCCTGTCCTTTTTTATTCCTTTATTCCTTTTATTCCCTGTTTTTCCCCTCTTTATTCCCTGTCCTTTCCCCTCTTTATTCCTTGTCCCTTTTTATTCCCTGTCCCTTTTCCCCTCTTTATTCCCTGTCCCTTTTCCCCTCTTTATTCCCTGTCCCTTTTCCCCTCTTTTTTCCCTGTGCCTTTTCCCCTCTTTATTCCTTGTCCCTTTCCTTTTTATTTCTTTTTCTTTATATTTTCTTTTTTCCTTTATTCCTTTTCATTCTCATCATTTCTTTTTCCTTTCTGAATATTTTTGTCATTATTGTTTTCTTTTATTGCAGTTTCTTCCCTTGTGTTTCTTCCATTTATGATGTTTTTGGGGGTTTTTTTTCACTTTTTCCTGTATTTCTTTCTCATTTCTCCTCACTTTAATGCTTCTGTAATGATATCTTGCTTTTTGTTCCATTTTTTTTTCATTTCTCTCTTCTTTTATCTTTCACCTATTCTGTATTTTTCTTCTCTTTCATAATTTCTTATTTTCTCCATTTAATGGGTTTCTAGTCTTTCTTTTAATTGTTTTATTCCTTTGATCATCACTTTCTATTCATTTTCTTCTGACATCATTCTTTTTTTTTTCTTTCTCTTATTCCTTTTTGATCAGTTTCTTTTCATTTTATTGTTTAAATTTCTTTCCTTTTTTGTTTCTTTATTCTCTCCATTTTATTCTTTGCTTTCCTTTTTCTTTAATCTATTCTGTTGTTCTACATTCTCTTCTCACATTAATTTCTCTTTCTTCCCCTTTCTCTCCTCATTTGGTTCTTTCTGCCTCCACTTGTTCCTCCTCTTGTTACTTACAGAAGAGGATTGCAAGTCATTAAAAGAAAGTGTGTATGGAAATGATGGTAAAGAAGAAAAAAAAACAACAGAAGTTCATCAAAACAGAGCAATAAATGAAAATAAAGACATAGCAAAGATGAAGTATAAGAAGAAGAAAGTAAAATAATTTAGTGTAAAAAAAGAAAAATAATAGAAAGAAAAAAAAAGGAAATAATTGAAAAAGAAAAAGAACAACGAAAGTGTAGGGAAGAAACATTTAAACAAAACATAAGTAAGACAAAAAGAAAAAACTTATCATACAACAGAAATAATGAAAGGAGAATAGAAGCGATGTAATAAAAAATGATTGAGAAAAGAAAACAAGAAAGAAATAAAAACTAGAGAAGGAAAAATATTTAGACCTGCAAGCAGATTTGTGAAGTGGATGGATTATCAAGAAAATTCTACTGTTATTAAAGATGCCATTTAAAATACTTCAAGCCCATATCATTGCCTCTTGTTCATAGGAAGTCTTATGGATGTTCATCATCTGAAGAGAGAGAGGAACAAATCTTGTGAAATGATTAACACTCACAGAAACAATATGTTATCTTTTATGTAGTGACAATTTCAGCCTGGTTGGCACTACGATATGGTAAAAGACTTGAAGAGGCATCATATTCTTTAATTTTTATTTTACTTGACAAATTTGTTAAGTGTCTTACACGGCTGACAAAGTATTGTCAGAGGATAAAAAAAAGTTGAAATTAAAAAAAGAACTAAAATTTTATTTTTCCGAAGATGGCATTTGATTTTTTATTTATTTTTTATTTATTTATTTTTTTACTTCGGTTTTAATGTATTTGTTTGTTTGTTTTTGTTTTCTTTAAAATTTTTATTTCCTTTTTCTCTTTACCTATTTTCTGGGCTTACAGCCATATCCCATTGAAACAACCATTCTTGTACGATCACAGAAGTTAAGAAATGTTGAGCATGGTCAGTACCTAGATGGGTGACTGCTTGGAGTACCAGATTCTGTAAGCTTGAATATGTGGGTGGTGTTATGGCATAATGGCTCTGAATTGGAATTTGGAGAAGAGTTCCAATTCCAGTTGGGTTCGTTATATTCACTTATGCGCAAATACTCTTGGGAAAGATGACTCCACCATGTCTCCACTCATGTATGGGTTAATTAGTAGGATTTGTATCAGTAAGATTATTATCATCTCAAAAAAATTCTTATACCCCAAAATATTGTCTAGCTTGAAATAACCTGCAAAAGGTTGATAAACCATAAAAAGCAAATCAATCAATCAATCAAATTTCTGCATCATATTTTCCATCATCAAAGTTACATTTCTGTACTTGCTTGAATTTGGTCTCTTCAATTCATAGTTCACATATTGGGTGACTCCTCTTGCTGACAGCTACTTGGGTCATTCCTTCAAAAGCATGACTATTATTAGTAAAGACTTATTAAGAAAAACACTCTGGAAATATAACCTATTTATTTTCATAATAATTACTAACTTGACATACAATAACTTAGATTACTATTAGAACTAACAATTTGACTACAAATGGTTGGTGAGCAAGCTCAGTGATTGATATACTTGTATTATTTTGAACTATTCTCATCTTGGTTGATATAGAGATTATTATAGGCACGGTGAACATCACTGTAAAAAAAAAAATTAATAAAAAAAAACTATATCCATTATACCGCCATACCAAAAAGACATTAGTGGTGTGCTTTTTTTTTTTCTTCTTTTTTTCATGCTATGGAAATCATCAGGTGGATATTATATCTGCTTGATGATTGTTATTGCATGAAACTCTAAGTAGCATATTTACATATAAAGTTATTGATTATCATATTATAATATATTTAAGCACTGTCAACTTTGGCATTGAACCTTTAGTTTATTTTGTGTTTTAAGCTTTAGCTTTTATTTTTTCTATTTAACTGTGTGTGTGTGTGTGTGTGTGTGTGTGTGTGCTTGTGTATCGTGTACTGGGCAAGATGATAAACTACATCTGGCAGCAAGGCCTCTGATCAGCTTTTGAGGAGCATGGAACCACCTCTTAATTGCTTGTGTTCGCAGGTCCACCCTGACCTGGGGTGGTAGCACCTGTTAGGGTTCCGACTATGGGCAAATAGTTAACCCCCAAACTGGTGTCAAAACACTATGAAAGTGTAAAAATAGGTTTTAATATCAGCAATAAAGTTTTTGTTAAAAAAATTATTACCAGCAATACATTATTACTAGCAATACATTTTTGAAGAAATAAATCTTGCCAGCAATACATTTTTGGAAAAATATTGTCAGCAATAAAAATCTTGTTGGCATTAAATAACCCACTGAGTTTGACATGCCGTAAAACAATGCAAACTATGTGTGTGTGTGTGTGTGTGTTATATATACTACAGTTCAAAAGTTTGAAGAATTAGCATGTGATGAACTTCTTTCCATCCAAAAAATAAAAAGGAGCTCTTAGAGTCATTGAAAAAAGAATGGAATCAATTATCAAATTTTTATTTTGAGGAACTTTTGCAAAAAGTTTGTGCTACAGTAATCAAGGCTAAACCAGTATATTTTGACAAGAGCAAAATTTAATCATAAAATACTTTTTTGTTATTTTTGTCATAAAAAAAAATTTCTAATAAAAATCATCATTCACTTTTTTAAATTGTAATTATTATAAAACGCAGGTTGTGTGTGTGTGTGTCTGTACGTTTATATATTTGATCGAATTTCCTACATTTTTCAACCGATTTCAACAAAACTTCACAGGACTATGTAAAATTACCTTGCGGTGGTTCTGACAGCACCAAAAATTGGAAAAACACAATTGTTTTTGCATGAAATCAATTTGAAAACATGATTAAGAGTCATCACGAGAATGAAAGGGGGACAACTCATATCGAGTTATACTTATTATAAAACCCAAGTTGTTTGTGTGTGTGTGTGTGTGTGTGTGTTCGTTTATATATGGGATCAGATTTCCTACATTTTTCAACCGATTTCAACAAAACTTCACTTTTTTTTGGCAGGTAGGGTTTCTTGTTGTCTTGCACACTTTTTTCTTTATTTTTACATTCAGAATGCTTTAAAAATTCCATTTACTAGACAATTGTTTATAATAAAATTCTATTCAATCGGTAGACTCATAACGATTGAAAACAATGATTTTGTTTGAGTTTGGGTTTGACCAATTCAATTCGTAAAAAAAAAAAGAAAAAAAAAGTAATTAAGACATGTGTGTCCATCAACCTTAAACAATAATTTTTGTCAATTTTATTTTTCAGTCTTTATGATGGTCGATACTTGATCTATCTCTTACTGTTACATCCCCGGGCAACGCCGGGTTCTACTGCTAGTCATATATAATAATATTCTCTAATTTAAAGTTCAAAACAACTATTTTGGGGGACAATTTAAAAACTTACCAGGATTTTTCCTCAAACCTTTGAAATGTAGTCTATATATGTAATAGAGAAAGAGAGTTTATGTGTGCATTGCATTTTATATATGTGAATTGCTCTAAGGTTGTTACTATGATGAGAGAACTTGGTTTTGTAAACTGAAATTCTTTATTCTTAGAGAATTTGCGATTTATTTTCTATACGTAAGAAATAAAGAATTGTTTTATCTAAATATGGCACAAAACCACTCAAATGGACTTGTTTCACAAGACCACTCTTCTACAGTAATAAAAAGGTAAAGTGATGGTGGACAGATCAAATCACTGCTATGATGATGGGGAAAAATCGACCTATTCACAACACAGGTGAATACAAATTGGACAATGAAATGTGACTTGTTTCAAAATATACTCTTGAAAACACTGAAAGGTGAATTAGATTCTAGAAAAACTGTTTCTATTCTAGACACCTGTTCACACTCTATGCAGCAAAAAAAAAAGGTAAAGAATATCTTTAAAATCATGTAATGTATATTTCTATAAAATATCATTATTTATTAATCGCTTCTAAATAAAAAAAAAATCTGTATTTATTTTAGGCTTCTAAAATCAAAATTCTGTATTATAGCTTCCTAATAACAAAATTCTGTATTTATTATAGGTTAAAAAATAACTTGTATTAATTATGTTAACTTTTTTGGTAGTTTTACATTTCTTGTTTTTACTATAAATATACATTATATTTTAATGTTCTTTTTTTTTTAAAATTGTTTTATAGTTGTATACTTGACAGTGTGAATATCGATTACTTATCTACCTATCTGTTTCTGGTTTAGTTACGATTTCACTGCCATTACATTTCTTACATACCTTGGCTATTTCTCAAGATTTGGGATAAAAGTAAAAGAAAAAATCCTTTCATTTTGATCTTTTCCACTTCTTTCAAGTACTTACAATCATTCCAGATCCACTTTATTTTCCTTTATGCTTTTTACTTATTTTGATTTTTTTTTTTATATATTCTTTTTATTTTTTAAAAATCTTTTAAGAGTTGTTGAAGGAAGC